CTCATAATCATATCGAGTCACTCACTCACACAACTTTTTTTGCTTCATTTATATATACATGAGTGTAGTTGATTAGACATTCCAACGAAATCAATATACGATAAAGTGCATTCAGAAATAATAGTATTAGTATTATTGATCAATTACAATCAGTTGGGAAATAAGACGAGTGTTTTCATGGTCAAAATAAGTAACTTGTTAGAATATTATAGTGTGAACTGAATACATTTACTATCCTCTTCTGGTTTGACTGACTGTTGGTAATAATGTCTACCATATCTCTGGTATTTGCATTGAGTCGTTTCTATTGCATGTGTTGTGTTGGGTGTAGACTAGAGGAACTAGGCAGATTTCAGTAATCAATCTCTTTCGCTCTTCACCTACCTATATGGAATTTGAATTGTTGGTTCAAACGTCAAGTGACTGAATTTTCAAACCATTGGACCACTCCATGATAAGGTGAAAATATCCATTTAGTAATATATTATCTTCAAGAGTTTACTGTGTAATACTAGTTCTTGAAATCTGATATGCACTACTTACTGTAATGGACAAGAGTTTGGGAAATCCATTTCAACTAACTTCGTAATTATAGTATACTTTTTTCCCCTATACTATGTGTATCATTAATTTGACATATGACCATTATTATTCGCCTTTGTCCTTGTTTAATCTTCAACGGTAAAACTTCTCTTTATGATTGTGTGTGTGTATTTACAGTGTGCTGTCTAACAGTATAAGTTTGTTTGAATGAATGAAGGCCTTTCTGACCTGTGACTATCTGAAACGAAGCCTTGACGTGTGACTCCTTATGGACAAAGATCTTGATCCCATCTCGTTGTGAATATTCTCTTTGATACTAAAGTACCTCTAACAGCTAAACTTCGGTTAACTGATTGTGTCTTACAACACTTGTTTTGTATTTCAAAACATACCTGCATACCCGGCAACGTTGAGGTAAATTTCAGTTTAATGTTATTATTATTGTACAATAGAACCACAACGGAAAACTCAGTGAGGCGTTTGGAGTAAACACAGGAGTCAGACAAGGGTGATTATTATCACCAATGATATTCCTAATTGTGGTGGACTGACTGGATTATGTGTCAGACAATAGGAAACGAGAGGACAGGGATATCCTGGACTGACGTGAAGAACCTAGAAGACCTGGATTTCGCGCGTGGATGATTTATGTTTGATATCACACAAAATCGAAGACTCACAAGTGAAAACCGACAAACTGGTAGAAGATGCAGCCGGCGAAGACAGGACTCCATGTGAACATAGACAAGACGGAGGTTATGAAAATAACCAACCAACCAACAACAACAACCGCAACAACATCCAGCGCCAATCACCATCAACGGAAGGAATTTGAAAGAGGTTACTTCATTAATCCGCTTATCTAGGGAGCATTGTGTCAACTACACGCAGTTGGAACGGACGAGGATTTCAAATCGAGCGAGAATCGGGCAGGCGGGAAACACATTCATCAACCTGAAACCAATCTGGAAATCTTCGTCACTCAGCATCAACAACAAAATTCGGTAGGATTTTCAATACAAACGTCAAGTCAGTCACTTCTTCTATACGAATGAGAAACTTGGCAAGCGGGTCACAAAGAATATTTCCATTAGGCTGTTGCAGAGCCTTATCAACAACTGTCTTCGCTATATACTGAAGATCAGATGGCCGGGCCGGAAAGAATCACCAACAAGAAACTATGGGAACAAACAAACAAAACAAGAACCAATCAATCACCAACCAACAAATATGCAGGAGAAAGTGCAGATGGATTGGACACTCGTTGAGAAAGTCACCGGGTGACATCGCGAGTCAGGCCACTGCTCGAGTGGAACCAGGCCGAAAGGGAATCGGCGAGTGGGACGTCAGTGCAAGGGTGACACGGAGATGGTGTGAAGAGGAGTTGAAACAGTATGGACTAACATGGATGGATGCAGATGGAAAGTACAGCAGAAGACAGAAAGAAGCAAGTGGAAACGTCCAGTCGAAGCCCTATGTTCCACTAGGAACCCAAGGAAACAATAAATAAATAATAATAATAATTAATAGAACCGCTAAAATAGTGCAGAATAATCGTCTTTTCCCTGCGTTTGGAACGTTCTGTGTTGTGTCGCGTGTCTCAACGAAGTTTTGTCAGCTATAATACAATAGAACATGGAGATCAGTTTCTTGCGTTCGGACCACCATAACCCAATTAATTTGATCGTTACACAATGAGTACATTAAGACCTTTACGATTGATTGTAAGCCGCTTCAACTTAGTTTTTTTTTAATCATGCGTTTCAATAATCATGTGGACAGCCAGCTTATAACTCCCCACATGGATTGAACTAACAGTGTTATATATTCCATATATTGTTACCACCGCTAACACATAGTCAATCAAATGAATCATACTTTAGTCAGCATTGCTCACTAAACAATGTCTGTCTGTTAGTCTGTTTTTGACACAGAACTTTGCACCGATGTGCACCAGTTCAAGTCGCCACACTCCCTTCATGTAACACATACAGCAAGAGAAGAAAGTAGAAGAAATGCATAATAGAGACAGTAAACAGAGGTGTGAGACAAAGGAATAGTAATAACAAAGAACAATATAGTTTCATTGGAAATCATAAGTTACACGGAGTGGATGCATCTTCGCTATGCATTGAGAACGACTTTTAGGCATATCACCGATTGTCTCCAACCTCCATTGGTTTTTACCGTCCCGAGGACCCCAACCAGCCAGTCAGGAAGTCTACACCTTCCTACGTGGCTGGCTTACATTAACTGTTGTGGATTTCATTGATTGGTTTGATCGCCGCTACCTCTTTTCCAGCCTGACCCTACATCAGTTAACATCGCCCGTTGTCGAGCAAAGTGATGGCTACACATGCATGCGTAACACATGTCTCAACCATCTCAGTCGATGTAGCTTCATAGCCTCGCCGATTGATTTCCACTCCTTATCTAACACTCGACGCCTAACCTGAATATTGCTCATCTTACTATAATCATTAAGCAATGAAATTCTTCAACATGACTTTCTAACTATTCCAGTTATCTGTTGTTGTTTTTTGATATTTAAACACACAAAACCCGGTACAATAATAATAATAATAATAATAGAACAGCATATGAGATAAAAAGCAAAAAATATAAGTTTCACAATCGGTTCCTGCTGTGTTGGTTCGCTCCCAGAGATCCCTGTTCCTGATTTTTCTGGCCATCTGATCTTGAGAAAAGTATTGAACGAAGACAGCTGTTGATGGAGGTCTGTAGTTTGTTCGAAGTAGTTTACGTGACGCGGCGCCAAGTCTCTGATCCGTGTGGTAAGTAGCACGGACTTCACATTGGAGTTGAAAGTCCAGATCTTATTTTTCATGCTGAGCAGTGCTGTTGATCTCCACTCAGACTTGAGCGTAATGAAAGCCTGTCTGCTTTCCTGATAATCCTCGTTTTGACGATATCCTCATTAGTAATCTTCGCCTGTAGTTAAAACGATGCTTCCCAGGTAGGTAGGTAGGTAGGTAGGTGGGTAGATGAAGGAGGTTGCTTCTCTCAGATTTCTCCCGTTTATGCTCGCTGATTGTTGTCTGTTGGTGTTGTTGTTGCAGTTGCTGTTGGCCAAGAATCTTCATCACCTCTGTTTTCCCTAATACCTTAAATCTACTTAAATGCTTCAACATGAACACTAGTGGATGTTTCGTGTAAGACTTTAATGTTATTTCACCCATCACTTGATGGAAACATCTTCAATGGAAATCAACAAATCTTAATTGAACACTTTTTTCTTTATTATAGCTTGATTCCACAGTGTATTTTTGGTACAAGTATGGAATTTTCAGCATACGATATCAGTAGCCTCAATTTTGCAGGCCGACCATAGATATTAGGTGTGTGTCAGAAGGGGATCGAACCTCGTACCATGTGCATGGTTGACGAGAGTCCTAACCGTTGTGCCACCGACGCACTTAGATAATGAACATGAATTATTTAATTATATTTACACTAAGTAGGAAATAAGGGATAACAAGTTAATTTCTAATGCTAAGCCGGTCTGCTAAACTGATTTCAAATCAGACTAAAACACTCTGTAAACCAAATATCAGGCAAAAACGACTTAACAATTACAGTCAGAAAATCAAACGAGGATGATCATTGGAGGAGAACTTTTATTATCTAAGCAGAAGTGGCAATACGGGATGAAGGTATCTGGGAATGAATATGTGTGCGTCGGTGGCACAGTGGTTAGGACTCTCGCCGACCATGCACATGGTCCGAGGTTCGATCCCCCGCCGACGCACACCTGATATCTATAGTCGGCCTGCAAAATTTGGGCTATCTATATCACATGCTGAAAATTCCATACTTGTACCAAAAATACGGTGTGGAATCAAGCTGCAATCAAAAATATAAATATAAATTTAAATACTGTTAAGTTAAATCCTAGTTACTGTTAAGTTAAAAGTCTTAGTAACTAGTGAGATGACAGCTTTTAGCTGAACAGTCTAAGAGCTCGCCTTGTAACCGAAAGGTCCTGGGTTCGAGCCCCATACTAATGGTGAAGAATTCGAATTTAAGACGAGACGACTGTTCAATACTCCATACTGGTTTTCCAATGATTCTCTAACTGATATCAAATCGTAATCAAACCTGAATGAGAATGATAAAACGCAAACCATGGAGTAAAAAGGCCATGAAATGGTATTATATTATTATTATTATTGATTCCTTCACGTTCCCAGTGGAAAATAGGACTTTAAGCCAGAGGCTGGGGGGTTTCTAGCCTCACGCCAAACCTTTCCTCTTTACCAGCTTTATTTCTGGCTTAGTGAGGTTTGTGGAGTGCGTCTGTGGCCGGGGATCGAACTCCGAACTATGTGCATGGTCGGTGAGCGTCTTAACCACTGTGCCACCGACGCCACGAAATGCTAACTAGAGTGTTTTAAAAAAAATCAAATTAGGAAGTTCTTACACAAAATAAAACTTACAAACATCAGTAATTGATTCTGTCGCTTCCAATGGATAAATTTGCGCTTTTCTACGCTCACCAAAAGAGAAATGATATATGCGATGACTGAAATTTCGGGCTATGTGCAAATATATAGAGAAAAAAAAAGATATAAAATGGGAGATTAGTTGATGTGTTTATCACCTACTTACTTATATCACGGATACTTTAACTACTCTCAATCAAAATACTACTTGTGATTCTATTTTTTGAAGAAAATAAAAGACAAATTCATCGAAGAAAATGCTTCTCTTTATCGACGAAATCATATTCACAGGCTGTGCTGTACAGTCGTATTTATACTTACAAAAAAATATATAGCCGTCTATTACTGAGTAATAGGGGTGGAGTGACATAATTGATATAATTACCCAGAAGTGGCTTTAGAAGTGAGAACTAAAAGTTTTAAATTACATGGTACTCAACGGTACATAGATAGAAATTTGATAAGGTTGCAATTGCTATTCAGTGAGAATAAAGGTAATTAAGTGTCAATTGAACAAGTGTGAAGAGGGTGTGAAAACATACAAAAGGAGCATATGAGATTGATAATAGTGAATTAATTATTAAAGCAAAAGCAAATTAAAAGTAAAGTTAAAAATTAAAAAAGTAAAGAAAAATCAAAATGTTTTACAGGGAACGACTAGTGAAGAAGTAGAATAAGAACAAGCAACAAAGGTGATTAATAAAGCAGGAGGATTTAATGAATTCATTATCGAATTTCGGTAGAACTCGTCAGCTGAATACTCTACATACACGGATATATATACACTAGTGAAATTACATTGGGAGATATAAGACTGATAAGTAAACAAACTACATTGAATTAGTCATGCAGAAAGACAGGTGGGAATGTTTTCCAAGTCATGTTCAAATAGATAAAGGGAGAGAGAGTAATCTTGTGGATTACGGACATGATATCGACGCAGTCAAGTCATTCACCATTGTCAGCAAACAAAGAAACAAGAAGATGCTTGCAATTGCAGAGGCTTGTGCAATTCGAATTCACAAACCAGCTCTCTGTATACAAAAGGAAATGGTCGTCACTCTGCATCTACCATGGTAATACGTTTTACTTATTAGTATACCTCTTATTATTATTATTATTGTATCCTTTAGTTCCTAGAGGAACATAGGGCTTCAGCTGCGCACCTCCATTGACTTCGGTTTTCTGACAACTTTTTCCCCTTATACCTCTTATTATTAACAATATTATTATTATTCTTGATTTATTTAAAACTATCCTTTATCAGTAGGATTATCTTAAGTCAGTTCGAGACTATTATTATTATTGTTATCATTAATACAACTTTTACTATTGATATTACTCTGTTTGCAATTCTTGATATGTTCCCTAATGACTAATTGTTTATCTAAGTGATGTAATTGAAGCGTAATGCAATTTATCTTAATTTTGATCTCTCATACTCTCTCTCCCGTTATCCATTTGAACATGACCTGGAAAACATTCCCACCTGTCTTTCTGCATGACTAATTCAATGTAGTTTGTTTACTTATCAGTCTTATATCTCCCAATGTAATTTCACTAGTGTATATATATCTGTGTATGTAGAGTATTCAGCTGACGAGTTCTACCGAAATTTGATGAATTCATTAAATCCTGCTTTATTAACCTTTACTGCTTGTTTTAAATTCGTATCGGGAAATAAATGTTTTCAGTAGAATAAGAGACTGGACAAAATGTTTTTTGTATACAGAGTTCAGGATTGTATTGACGAATTGCCAGCGCCTCCACCATACACAAAAGCCAAAACCTGACGCACTTTTTACCATTTGGCTTCACTTTGTAGATGATATTGAAAGACGACTCTGGTGGAGCTATGTGACCTGAGTTCACCAAATGCTCGAGAATTGAGCTAGTAATTGCTAATTTGCTAACCATGTCGAATAATGTTCAGAGAAAGCGTTTGGAAAGCGTGCGGTAGCTTTGTGCAGGCGGTCAATATAACTAGCTCCACACGAGCAGGTGAATTTATAAACACACATTGAGGTGGCCCGTTCAAAGCGGCAGTTTATCCCTCACACATCCATTGGTCATTTGTTGGCTGTAGAAATTGATACGTAGCTCAGCCATAAAGAAAGCTTTCCTCAATAATCTGCATAAACGATTCTTCAGGATCTCAGCTGCGGTATCACCACTCATAAATAGCTGTTTCTTTCTATTTTTATTTTTAGTTTTTCCGAATTATATCGGTCTTATTTAACTACGAAGTTGACAGTGAGATATAGAGATACGTACACGTAGGTTTTGGGACAATGGAATTAGCAGGCAATATATCACTCCACTTGTGACGTGTGCCACTACTGATAAAATTTATCAGTAGTATACAGATGCCGACTGGTAGGAAGTAGCCAAAGTTGTCAACAACATTTTAAGACCGTGGCCAGGGAAGTAGAAGTGTTTATTTCTTAAATCTGGGTGTAGCTTACTTTGAGTTCAGGAAATAACTTCATTGGATAACTTTACAATTCAAGGTTTGACCTTCAGAAGACTAACTACCAATCAGAACAGCTAACTACTCGCTAAGTAAGCCAACTTTAAATGTAGCTAACAATGCATCAATATGGTGTGTTTTTCCTTAATAAAAAAGTCCATTACAAAGTCTTTTGTCTTCTCCCATTACACAACCACCTATCCACAGAGGACTAGACAGCAGAGTAGCTGTAATATGATCGATGTAATCTACTGCATGGTACACAAAGCAACAGAACCTGGTTGGATTAAATCATATGCTTGCAAAACACATAATGGTTTGCACACATGTGAAACACTTCGACTTGCCACACTCCACCTCCTTGTACCACACAAACCAAGAGAAGAGAGTTATCACACACTCATCAAAAGATAGATAATAAACAGAAGTGACATTGAGGCAAAAAGGAATATTAGTAATATGGAAGAACAATAGAGTCCTTATTCGATGGTGGGTATGACACACCAATCACAAAGAGTGAATGCATCTCCGCTAGCCATCACTGAGAACGAAGATTTTCAGCCATATCACCAATTGTCTGTCTCCAGCCATCATTGGTTCTCACCATCTCGAGGACTGCAACCAGCCAACCAATCTACACCTTTTTAAGAGACTGGCTGGATTACACTAACTGTCATGGATTTGATTGACTGGTGAAGCCATATTTCGGTTTGACCATCACTAGCAGCTCTTTTCCAACCTGATCCTATGTTAACCCGTCTAGGAAAGCGATAGTCAGACATGCACGCGTAACACAGGTCCTAACCATCTCAATCAATCGATGCAGCTGCTTCACAACCTCATCGACTGATTTCCCCAGTAAGAAAGGTAAATAAATAAATGACTGCAAAAAAAATCCATGAGAACCCCTGTGTGTGCGTGTGTGCATGTGTTAAACACCATCGGGCCTACAATTCAGTACAATTGAGTACGCATACATGTACGCCTAGAGAGAATCAATTTTTCAAGTGATATCTAAAATCTATCAGAGGACAGTTTATTTTCATTCACTGACATGCAGGAAACAATAGTTTCTAGGTTGGTAAAGAAAAACAAATTTTTTTTATTTTGACGTAAAGTTTGCCACTTCTAACAAGCAAGATCGTGTCTCTCTCTCTCGTCCCAATCGATAATCAATCACACAAAAACAAAAAAACACAAAAACGATCAAAAAAAACAACCAAAAAGAAAAAGAGATAAGGTTATCAATATTGACTGTTGTTGAATGATAAATGTATATAGCACAAATGCAAACGTGCCATGATTACCTGGTAAGGCATAATCAATAACAAAACTTCACTATTATTACATGTATATCCTTTTTATTTACTATCAGACCTTGACGGTGTGTTTACAACTTGAGCAATCAAAAACTTCCATCTCTTTATTGCATATATATTTTCTCTCGTTTGGTTCATTTTAATCGATTAAGATACCATCTGGTGATATTAGATGGTTGGAGGTAATCGGCCAAAGGAAGCCTTGGACACCACCGAGGTTTCGTGCTAGTTGGCACTCACCACAGTCAGTCAGCAAGGCGTATCTGCAGTCACCTTGAAGGAACTCATGTTTCTTCTGAGATTCGAACCCGCATCATCCAGTGCTACCTGCAGTCAGAGATGTTACCACTGCGCTAGCTATCCGGACTGGCTCACGATTGACCTCCTGTAGAACAGACTATAGTGGATATTTTGATTGGACACTAGTAACTAGTGTGATGTGTCTAGCCCTCTCTCTGCTGCAGACTGAATTCTATCTCTAATGACTTTACCTACTTTTGTGTGAATTGAAAGTGTTTACAAGCTCCTGCCTGATATACAACTTCCTATTAAACTTGGGGAATGGCCTAATTGTGGATGGCAACGTGTTTCAATACAACATGAGATAACTGTTCTTCAGTGTGCTCTTTGGGTCTCAAAATATACTTCTGAACATCTTAACAATCAGCTTTCAACTAGATCGATATCGTGAATTTCTTGACGGAGAAAAAGCAGACACATCACAATGGAATGATTTGTGCTTCATTTGCTCAGAGACCAGTGTATGTCACAGCATATGCTGTCAGTTAATATTTTACTTGAAGATATTGTACGAAGGAAGAGTATATCATGCAATAAACTGTGAAAATTCTGTACATTATATAAATACTGTCCAGAATTTACTGTCAGAAGCTACTTACATCCTGTCGCACAATATATAGTAGCCTATCTTTAGACCAACTGTAAAATTTTGTCACATTATTTTAAGCATTCTAATCTCAACTCTCTTTGTCTTCATCTGTTTTCGACATAGAACTTTGCACTGATGTGCAGCAGTTCAAGTCGCCACACTCCCTCCTCGTAGCACACAAAGCAACAGAATAAAGTAGAAGAAATGCATAATACAGACAGTAAACAGGGATATGAGACAAAAAGAATAGTAATAACGAAGAACAACATAGTTTTATTGGAAATCATAAGTCACAAGGAGTGGATGCATCTGCGCCAGTCATTGACAACGATTTGGAGCCATATCACCACCAATCGTCTCCAAGTCTTCATTGGTTTCTTCTTCCTGAGGACCCCAACAAGCCAGTCAGGAAGTCTACACCTCCCTAAGTGACTGCCTTAAACTAACTGTTGTGGATTTCATTGACTGATGAAGTCATGTTTTGGTTTGACCGCCACCAGCTAGCTCTCTTCCAGCCTGACTATATGTCAGTTAGCTAATATTACCCGTGGAGGAAGGCGATGGCTAGGCATTCATGCATAACACATGTCCTAACCATCTCAGTCGATGTAGCTTCACAGCCTCGTCGATTGATTTCCCCTCCAACCTACCTAGCACTCGACTGAGGCCTAACCTGAATATCGCTCATCCTATTATACCACTTCACACGGGAGATAGAACGCAGGCACCTATGATCAAAGACAGCTAGTCAGTCTTTTGATGTTTTCCACTCTCAATGGCCAGGTCTGACTGACACCCATCAAGGAGAACGGAGCGGACTGCTGAGCAGTGCACCCGCCCATTGGTCAGTAGCTGACCAGATATCACATCTACGCCAGAGACGGCGTAAACTGGCATATGCGAAACTATACCTCTTTATCCGTACTGCTAATCTCAACTAATGAATCGCAAGTCATAAGTTATTCTATCTGTTGTGATCTGAACAATTAAACAATATTATTACTGTTATTGGATGGTTGGAAGCAACAGACAAGAAACCTTAGACCCGGATTTCGTGCAAATACGCTTTGGTGATTGGTGAGTGCCAAACAGCACGAAACCTAGGTCAAGTAAAGCTTTCTGCCGATTGCCCCCAACCATCTAATATCATCAAATCAGTGTGCACTGTGATGGAGAGCTACCTAGTGACATGGTAGCCACATTGCAAACTTGACTGATAGAATTCAGTCTGAACCAAAGATAGGACTAGACACATTACACTAGTTATTGACTAGTGTCCAATTAAAACAGTATTATTAATGGCACCGATACCTGAATAGGGCATATAGTTACCTGGGGTTCTAGCGGGAAGTCGTGACCAGTTGGGAGCAGCAGGTCGGGTGTGAGGAAAAGTACTCGCCGAAGACATTGGCTAGGGGTCGCGGTATGTCGTGAATTGGTAGAAGTTAGTTTTCATGAGTCATTTGATCGGGTCCCAGTGGCTGCTGAATGGTCTACGAGCTCACTGGCCTTGTAACTAGAAGGTCCTAGGTTCGAACCGTTGTGGTGGATGCGTGTTGATGAAGAGTCCCAAACTAGGCTGAGGAAACAGCTGTCCAGTACTCCCTGTGGCTGGTTTTCCAATGTTTCTCTAACCAATGTTAGCTCATGATGAAATCCTGTAACTAGTGCGAGACAGTTAGGTTAATGAATCATTACATTAGCTAGTAGTAAGGCTTCAATGTGTCGAACTTAGACACACACCAACGAGAAACAAAATATCACACAAAACACAAATACTAACAACCAAATATATATTTTTAGGGCTTTAAAAGACCTACCCACTTTACTTGAGAGTGGTGCAATATGCAGATGCAGATTTCCAAGTCCTCTTAGAGGTCTTTTAAATGGAAATAGAAAGAAAATACACGAAAATGAATAGATTTTCAAAAGTGATAGGAAAATATGCATGTTTTGAAAATTCATAAATAGTTTATTCTATAAAGCATTACCGTTAGACCAAAAGCTGAAATAATACACACTTAGACGGAATTCTGAACAGAAAATGAATATTTTCAAGTGTTGGATTTCGTTTGATTGATTGGGGATTTCACCATGAGCTGACATTAGTTAGAGTGTGATGAGAGCAGGCTGCTAGCCCAATTGGTAGACAATTATTTACGTCAATGTTTGTGTCGCAAAGATTGGTCGTGAGAAAATATGAACAAGACTGATTCAACAACCATTCAGAGCACACTTAGCGTAGTCAGATACAGTTAACATATAGGTGACCTGACATTCAAGAAACAGTCACAAAGAGATGCAAAGTCAACTTTCTGGGAGAAACAACCAATCAGAAGAGTGCGTTTGTTTGCTTGAATAAGCTAGAATAATGTACATGAAATATATATGTAGATATATACGTGTTGATTTCCTTAATAAACGATCTGTTGCCTGGCCCTGACCATTGGAAAACCTGTAGGGAGTACCGGAGAGCTGTTTCGCCAGCCTAGTTTGGGACTCTTCTACAGCAGTACGCACCCACACTAGGAGGGGTTCCAACCCAGGACCTTCTGGTTACAAGGCTAGCGAGCTCGTAGACCACTCAGCAGACACTGGGACCCGATCCAATGGCCAGCCAGTCCATGAATTCCAACTTCTGCCAATTTATGACATAGTGAGACCACTTCGCAATGTCTTCTTCGATCACTTACTGCGTCGTCACCTTCAACCCGCTGTACCCTACTGGTCACGGCTTCCCATTAGAACTGTCGAAGAGTCCCAACTGTCCAGTACTTCCTGCAGGTTTTCCAATGGATCTCTAATTGATATCAGCTCATGAGAAAATGAGTAGTTGATAGGCAATAAACTATGCCAAAATTTGCAATTCATAACAGTTAGCCAATTGGTCGAATTGGATTTATCGCTTCGCTTGCCAAAGATTTCATAGCTAGTTTGATCTCGTTAACTCGTTATGCCTTAAGATGCCAAAGTGATTTATAAAAATCAAACATACTTTGGGTACCAATCACACTGAATAAAGAAGTGAAGATGAGTGCTAGGAAAGACAATAGAGACAGATCTGCAACACACTAATAACTAAGACAGAATAGGCTGCAAGTAGAATACACCTCAGAACGTTATATCAGATGACCAGGTCTCTATTTGGGGACAGATCACAGCAGATGAAACTGATCAAAGATATTTAAGTGGACCTAATTACCAAAAAAGAGAAGCAAACACAACAATGGGCTGATCCGTTCAATGGACTATTGAACCGATCATCACCTACGGCTTACTCAGAAATGCCATCTACAGCAGGCAGAGAACTGACAGTGAGCATTAATCCTCCGACAAAAACAGAAAACTTGAGTGCAATCAAGCTACTGAAAACCCTGAAAGACAGAAACACCAAAAGGAATCCCTTCTGAAGCATTGGAAATGGACCAAGAGATTGCAGTGGATATGCTCACTCCGCTATTGCGAATAGTTCGGAAGGAAGAAAAGGTACTTAGTTATTGGGAGAAATGTTACACTATCAAACCCCCAGAGAAGGGTGACTTAGGCATCTACAAGAACAAGCACGGATTGACGCTTCTGTCCACTCAAGGCAAACTACTATGTTACGTTATCTTGGAGAGAGTTAAAGATGCAGTGAGTAAGAACTATGAATTCAGGAAAAGCAAATCGTGTCCCGAACAAATTGTAACTGTACGCACCACCATCGGGCAGTGGCATAGAATAGCAGTCAAATCTCTACCTCAACTTCATCGACTTCCAAAAGGCCTTCGACATGGTTGACCGAGAAGTAATTAGGAAACTACTTAAAGACTATAAAGTGGCCAAAAATCTTTATCAACCTCATTATTCAACAGCTATATGAGAATGCTATGTGTCAGATGATCTACAACAGAAAACTCAGTGAAGCCTTTGAAGTGAATACAGGAGTAAGACATGACTGCCTACTATTACCGATGATATTCCTAATTGTGATGGACTGAGTCATGCAGCACAACGTAAGTGAGGAGCAAGAAGACAGGAATACGTTGGAGCGATAAGAAGACTCTAGAAGATTTCCACTTCGTGGACGATTTATGTCAATCACACGAACTCGAACAATCACAAGCGAAAACTAGAAAGTTGGCAGAAAAAACAACAAAGACGGGGCTTCAGGTGAACATAGAGAAGACGCAGGTGATGAAGATAACCAGACAACCAGCACTAATCACCATCATCTTCTGCGCTCAACATTAAGAGAAAAATGTGGATTTTTAACATCAGAGTCAAATTAGTTATTTTATATGGGTGAGAGACTCGACTAACGAGTCACGAAAAGTATTTCCGATTGACAGCTGCAGACTTTCATCAACAGCTGCTTTCTCTGGCTTTATACTGAAGATCAAATAGCCGGCCGGAAACAATTAGCAACAAGAAACTTCGGGAAAGAACCAACCAATATGCCGAAGAAAATGAGTACGCATTGGGCACATGTTGAGGAGACGGTCGAATGACATCGCACACACACCTGTCCGTCTAATGAAATCCGAACGGAGAACGGCAAGTTGGGCATTCGATGGTAACATTGAGGAGATTGTGTGAGGAAGGGATGAGAGCCTATGGGGAATCGTGAGGCGAGCTGATGAGGACTGCACAGAACAAGACGACGCGTAAATGTACTGTTGAGGCCCAATGTCTCAATCGGAATCCAAGGAAATTGTGACAATGGAAGACACTTCATATGATCATTGAAGGTGAAAGAATTGAAAAATATTTGATTACCATTGCTTTTGCAGGATCGTATACACATGATGGAAACAATACACAGAAACTGGAAGTACATTAATACATGAGTTCAACGACTTTGACAAAGATAAGAGATACGCTATTGGTCAATGGCTTTTAAGATACGGACTAATATATATATATATATATATGCTAGAGCCTATCCACATGGTAATTTTATGAAGTATTACTTCTTTCATGATAGACACGTACATTCTTAAGCTACTGTCTACGTAAGGATAAAACCCAATGTACAAACACTAGAATATAAGAAACAAGGAAACCCATGAGGCAATTAAAGTCGATTAAAGTGCAAATAAAATAAAAATAAATAAAAATAAAAGTATGCTCCATGATATCCTGAAATAAATCCTTTATTTTCAAGTATTGGTTTTGTAGGTGGAGGAAATGGTTTATTTAGTGGTGCCAAGAAGGTTAGTTAGTTCATGCTTGACACTATTTTCATCACATAAAATATGTGCCAAATATGGTATAGTGGAATTTGCAGACTTAGACGTATATGAGCAAAGTCTTCTGAAAATACTTCTTGTTTTATCTGAGGAGACACAAGCCTGGAGCTGCGAGTAAAGTGGATGCTCAGAGTCTGACAAAATTTCTTTAGCAAATTTGTGAAATCAAGTGCCTGTCAATGACGACGTCAATGATATGGCTCAATGGGATAGTATACCAATCCCCCTACTGACAGTCTTCAGAATTCGACGCGGTAACTCATAGAATACATTGCGATTTGGTCGCACTATGTCGTGAATTGGCAGAAGTCAGAATTCATGGGTTGGTTGGCCATTGGATCGTGTCCGGATGGCTGCTGAATGGTCTACGAGCTCGCTTACCTTGTAACCTTGGGTTCGAACCCCCCATTGTGGGTGCGTACTGTGGAGAGCCCAAAACTGGGACGAAACAGCTATCAAGTACTTCCTGCACGTTTTCCAGTGGTTTTTTAAATGATTTCAGCTCATGATGAAATCCTCCATAAAATCCTTTATTGTTTATACATTTGTATATTCAGTTGCAAATAAGTGATCACTTAAAAAAATGCGTATGCCTACGCGTTTTAGAACACGAAACGTTAGAAGAACTGGCACTTTTAAATTAAATTTGTGTTAAAAAAATAACCGTCTTAATAAATGTGAGAAAATTATGGTTTTTGCGATTAGGAAAGTGAATAAAACTCTAGTCTTATTGGCAAAGATTTTTAAGAAAGTACATCTACCTTTAAAAAATATAAACGGAGAAATTAATTTCGGAATTAATTCGCCAACAGAAACCTTTAATGAAGTTATGAAAACATTAACACCCCAAGAAACTAACAATACGAGTTAAAGAATTTTAACACTGCAGAGTAATTGAAGTAGCTACCGAATGACTACATACTAATAATCCTTGCCCACAATGAATTACTTGAAGACAATGGTCCAATAATGACAAAAAAGCATGCGTTAGTGTATACACTCCCTTTCAGAATATGATGAGAAAACAAAGAAACGGCAATATTATCCCAGAAAACACATAAGAAAAACTTTAAAACAGCGCTATAAAAGTTTTACAGTCCAAGAAATACATGACAGCCACGTTTATAAAGATACTGGGAGTAAGGAACTGAAATGCAATGAATTGCAAACAGAAGTCGTAAACAGATAATCAGGCATACAAATTAACGTCAAGCTCTTCACAGATATTTATCGGCCCAATTCACTACAAAGAATAACAGGTAAATTAAATCGGTTGAATGTTACAAGTTAGCACGAATTGGCACTGAAAAGCCTTTGGACAGAAACGTATTCGTAGCACACGTTTCTAATTGATACTACAGGTGTCGTAGATGGAACATGAATGCAAATACTGTCTTATAATGCAGAACATAAGAAAGTGTGAAATATTCACAAATAAGAAGAGATTATATACTACAATAAACATGCTTTTAACACACTGACAGTTTGCATGGTCCAAATCCAAATCTTTGTGAAACTCTTTCAATGGCTGCACACAAAACATGCTAAATGAAGCAGACACTAGTAATTATAAAATATTACACGGAGTTACTTACTTTCCAAGTAATATATGGATATTTCCTTCAACCTTTTTAACGTATAAAGTACCAATGATTCGACAAGCATCAGGATTTTTACCATCAGGAACCTTCTTGTTTATCATGTCAACATCCAAGTCTTGAAAGGGATTTGTTTTGAAACTATACTTCCACAACCGATCTTGGATAGCATGATGTCTTGAACGTAGATTCCCAGCAAGTAGTTGTCGGTTCTGAATGTAAATAACACGAAAAAAATTCTTTCATTTCTATACGTGTTAGATAACTAAAGCTTTTAGATGCCTTCTGATATAAAAGAAGTGCTACTAGTATTAACACAATCAGAATTAAGTTATCAGTGTTGCATTTTAGTGGTACAAAAATAAAACTGAACTGAACTAATGGACAACAAGTGAAGGGTACTTGTGGAAGGAACGATTTTATTGGGTGAAATTAGAGATAAACGTTGAATATAGATAGAGAAATATTATACTCCAGGGAGATGAGTCAGAAATCCTAATATTATTTCCTCAAAATTCCCGAACATTATTTGAGAATGAAGTGAATAGTTTGCGGCACACTGAAGTTGGTGACCACACTGACTCGATTCCCAGCTCTAACTACTACTCTTAATTTCTGATCTTGTTCTAAGTCAGGATTTACAATAAAAGATTTAACTAATCATAATCTGCACTCTGATTTTTTACTCAGGTTTCCATATGGATCGTTATTCAAATTTCATGATGCAGAGTCCGCTAAATATCATAATCAGAGGACTTACATAATTCATACTTAAAAACAGGGAATTATAAATAGTCAGAGCTTTTAGTTCAAAATGTAATTAATGTAAATAACCAACTGAGAGTACATATGCTACCATGAATCAACTTTTTTCCATCTCTCAATCCAGCCGACTATGGCAGTTCGAAAATTATTCATAACAAGTACAGCCAAAACGAAGCACGTATGAAGCTGATTTATTTAATGCACAATATAGCCAAAACTGTTGTTTAAACATTTAAGTGCATAAGACGGGAAAGATGTACATCTATGAGAGGTGCTTATGCAATCTTAAAACTACCAAAAAATGAGTTCTCATCTTCATCTTCTTATTTTATATAGGGTGAAGTGGCACTGGGATCGGATCTAGAGTTGGTTTTCTATTAGTACTGCTAAGAACAAGGGACATGGTGCATAACCCCGAAAACTATCCCTCCAGGTCTTTCAGTTAGAATTCTGTGCAGATGACCCTTTAGAAATGAAGGTATCTGCACTTAAGCTGTTTAGTGTTTTGTCGAATAATTCAGAAGTGGGAATACTATTTAAATGTTGAAAAAAGTATTAAGCAACATTTCTAGGTCCCAGAATGTGCTGAAAATTAGAAAAGCTCGTCAAACGCCTTAGGGTTCAGGGAAATAAGTACATACCCTGAATATAACTTGATCGGAGGGATTTAGTTCGAAAGAAACTGGTATATACTGAATTTCTTCTTCATCGACTAGTGAAGATCCAACAGTATCCACCACATCCATGGAAATAGCTAAAAAAATATGCTAATGAATAAGGCTTACCATCACATAAGGAAGCAACAACAATGTCAACATTAACCTTAACTTTCCTAGAAAGGGCTCGGAAATAAAACAGCCTTACCCAGAGATTTGTTTGTCCACTTCATAGGAATATCTCACGGGAGGATCAATGAAACGCCAAGTTTCCATTAGAAGCAGCCAAAATATGCAGCAGAATGTTAGAATCGAGACTGAATTGATTTATGACTTTCATATTTGCATGAATACCTAAACCACCAGCCCATGTCGACTTTTTACATTCCGGCGGTAGCTTTGGGAAAATATCTAATTCATGTATCCGTTGAGAGATTACAGGTTTTATCCCCTCATTTAACAACCCCACATTTCTCCTCCTGACCTCCATAAAGTCGAGACTTTCAATGCTTTTATCAAGGTTACGACATTGAAAGTGAAGCAATAAAACGTGTAGATGCGAAGTCTTCCAATATCCAATATCCAATTTCATTTCGTATATGGAATTCATGCAGTGATTTCTAAATTACATCTGATCTCTTCAAATGGGTATTTTTTTATTTGTCCAGCCGTCTTCCAGATGAAGTCATAGACATCATTTCTTCTGCAAGTGCTGCTAACCAGCACTTCATATCGCATTTATATTCTAGCCTTTTTACTCCTCCACAGTATTTTCTAGGCGAGTTTGGGGGATCACTGAGCCAATTCAAAATGACTATTTTATATCTAAATGTAATGATTTAAATTTAGTAATCAGGATGGAATATCCACAAGCCCTTGCTTATTCTTGACTTGAATTCAGTGTATCTTATAGCTGCTCGCATCAGGCTTCAGTACAGAAAAGGAAAAACACTAACTTCCCACAAAAGCATTCGACTGTGGTAAAATGGGTGTTCTATGGGTTTTACACCGAAGACATTATTAAATATTCTCCCTAAATCTGCTACTATCCATTGAATAGAAACTGAATACGCTGGCGTCCATCACAGTCATTTGTCCCTATTTCTGGCAGATTATGGTAGATTGTAGCCAAACGCCCAACGCTTTCCCCCAGATTTTGTTTTGGAACGGGATGCGATTTTTATACAGTGACAGGAGTACAAGTGACAGGATGGTAGACGTCTATGGCGCGACTGTATGTTTGGACATGGTGAAAACACCCCCCCCTCTTAATTGTTTTTTTTCTTCTGCCGTTTGTCTTCTCTACACCATTTGTTGTATATTTGTTTATTCTGATGTAGGTTCTGTTCAACACACGGCTCACCATCACGCGTGCCGCAGGGTTCTATCGTAGGGCAACTGATGTTTTTGATTTTTATCAATGGCTTACCATGCCGTTCAAGCTGCCAGACTTTTCTATGCTGACGACATAAAGATATGGAGGGCGATAAAGTGTTCGAAGACTCAGATAGTCTGCACGCAGACCTAAAGCTTCTGGAAGACTAGGTGGTGGTCATTGGCATGACCTTCAACCTGAAAAAGTGCAAAGTGGTGAAATTATGCACCTGCAGGCTGCAGAATGTAAGTTACATGAAAGCTTGTCCTGATCAACATCGGAGCGTGACTTGGGTCTATTTCTAATAGAAAAATGGACACAAGCGTAAATTACACGGAGGATATAGAGAGAGCATGTGCACTCTTACACTTTACACATAGACAGCTAAGTGCACTCACTCCTGAGCTTCTTCTAAGGTTTTACATAACATACATCAGACCACACCTTGAAGTGCATAATATTATTGCACCCATACTGCTTAGAAGGGACGCAAACCTATTGGCGGGAGTGCAAGAACGGGCGACAAAAGGAGTGGTTGGTCTCCGAAATAAACCATACGATGTAAGGCTAAAGAAATTAAGCTGGCTGACACTAAGCTAATGTTGGCTTAGTAGTGCTTCACGACTACTAGTGATGCAGTTGAAAAAGTCGAAGTGGCAAGTAACGCAGGATCTATTTTTGAGAAATCCGTGTTGAGACCTTGTAACAAGATCTTCCCTAATTAGGTAGTCTGACAATTGATCTTTTACAACTTTCTCCATGATTCGTGAGATAACTGGGGTTATATTTATGGGTCTGTAATTGCGGACGTTTGCCCTATCACCAGATTTGTAATGTGGAATTATGAAGCTAGTTTTCCACTCACTAGGGTAAGTGCCAGTGTCCATAGATATTGAGAAGAATTTAAGAAGTAACAAGGGTATATCACACCCACTGTTTTTGAAAATTATCGAAGCGAGGCCATCCGGTCCCGTACTAGTGGAAGGTTTAAGGCTTTTAATTGCTTGTACTATTAACTGATTAGTGAACACAATGCTTTCAAGGGAAGAGATAGTAAAGGGGGCGGTTTCACCAGGCATATGTGTTTCTAAACTAAAGTTTGCAAACCAATCACTGAAGAGTTCACAGATAGTGGCAGGTTCATTGTAGATTACTTTGTCGTGAAGTAAGTATGGGATTTCCCTCGCCGACTGCATTCGTTTTTTAAGAAGTGCCGTTAAGTTATAAACTTTGGAGGTACTTTCAAGTGCCGTTAACTCTTCGTCGAGGTCCTTTTGAGAGCGTAGGCGCTTGATAGATTCAAGAGACTCGTGGATTGAGAGCAATAGTGATATGTCCTTAGTGGAATAGTACTGTTTCTTCAGCTTCCTTAACTTATTACGGTGTGCCCTTGGAATATATTCAGTTCGGTGTCTACTTAATTTCACTATTTTCTTTGGAGCAACTGTATCTAGACAAAGGGTAACATTCCTGTAAAACAGGGTTACTAAGGCCTCCAGGGAGTCAGTGGTAAAATAGTCATCCCATTGACAGAGTCGAATAAGTTCTTGGACTAATCCCCAGTCTGTATATTTGTAACTACGACATATTGTGCTTCCTGAGTCTTGTTTGTTTCCTGTATTTAGTGGTGAGAAAGGCAGAGAGCAGAGTACCATTCTATGGTCACTACTGGAAAATCTATTACCAACATACGTGGATACTGGGATTGTGTCATGACAAAAAACAAGGTCCAACATGTTGTCACCACGAGTAGGTGTCTGGACGTGTTGTTGCCATCCATAACAGTCTATAGTGGCAAGTAATTCGTCGAAGCGTTGGGGGCCGGAACTAGTTAGCCAATTGACTTCTGGAAGATTGAAGTCCCCTGCAATTATTTTGTAATTAGCACTAAACGAGGATGCGTGTGCAAACGATTTAGCTAATAACGCATCAGTTTCTTTTGTTGCGCTTGGTGCTCGATAAACACAGCCTATGAGAAGTTTGTACTTATCTCCATGTAAGACAACCCAGAGTGAGTCAGGTACATTATTCATTGTTTCATCTTCCACCTTACTGACTACAAATGAGCTATGTATATATATGAGACATCCTCCACCACGCTTGCAATCTCTGTTTGCACGGTGTACAGTGTAATCATCGATACCTATATGCACATCAAGTACAGAGGATGAGCACCATGACTCAGTAATCAGAGCTACAGTAGGCTTGGCGACTAATAATAATGTCCTTAGTTCAGATATCTTATTGATTAAGGAACGTGCATTAATTAGCAATATCGTGAATAAGTCACGGGATACTACAAACTGGCTTAAAATGTCACCATAACCTAAATCTATTTGTGCGTCAGCACCGCAAGAATTTATGAATGAAAAGGAGGTCGGACTGGGTGTCTGTACATCGGGTTGGAGTGCAATGAGGTGGTCCTAGGTGCCATGGGTCGTACCAGTGATTCGGGACACCTGGAAAATTTACCATGTGTTCCTGGATATAAGGGTAGTACAGGTTGGGCCTAGGTTGACGGTTAAAAGGCATAGCATCAGAAGGTCTACCCATCCAACTGCTATTCGTCATACCGGTACACACCTTCGGGTTGTTTTTATAACTTAAAGGGAATTGTGAAGGAAGGTGCTTTGGCTGCAAGACTTTAGGAGTCTTGGAGCCTGACTTTCTATAAGGTGGAGCATGCGGAACACCTCCAGATGTACTTATGTTTCGAGAGGAGTTTTTCGTAACAAGTGATGGTTTGTTGGCATTCTTACTCTCAGCAGGCTTATTGAATACAAAGTATTCTTCCCCATCATTAGTCTCAACCCTGCGAAATTTGTTCATCGTGGTGAGGTTACTACGTTTGGGGGGAAATTTCTTAGAACAACTTGCAGAAGTTCTAGTCATTTTAACATCTTTCGATGAGGCTTTGTTTACAGGGGTACTGGTATCTAAATCAGTTCCTAGTTCCATTGGCAAGTGTGGTTGTTGTGTAGTTTGCTGAATGCTAGTTTCAGCACTAGGTGTCTGTTGCTGTGCACGATCCTTTTTTGGTAAATCAAAGCTAGAGGAGGTGACCAGGTTATTACTACGCATTATTCTGCGCTGACACGGTGTTTTATCCTGAGCTACGGTTATAGACTTATAACTGCTATTCAGTCTTAAGTGATCCTGACATTTAGTAAACTTACTAGCATCAAGGGAATTACTGAATTTAAAAATGATTGGGCAATTAGCCTGGTTAGACTTTTTACGAAGTCGTTTGCATTCACATGGAACACTAGCCATGCCGCAACAAATCAGGATTTTGTGTCTTACAGTTTTCAGGGGCAGAGAATCTGGGACGTTGTAAACTATAGCTTGGTGAGAAGAGGTTATACGCTTCATCACCTCCGTAGCCAAGCAGTCAATCAGATTTTCAGCTTTATTTAGGTTGTCTGGAGATATTTTAGGATGCCTTTCTAAAAGACAGGCTATTGGGTCTAAATTCAAAAGCTTATTTTGAGTTACATCCAGTAAACACTTAACCTGGCCAATATCAGAACGGCTCTCCGTGGTATTTGAGATTGGCAGTGACATACTATCAAACTGATCTAATTTTTTCTGAATTTCACTTACTTGCCTCTGCATATCTTTCAAAAGGAGGTTTAGTTTACAGAACTCAGAGTTCTCTAACAGAACATCTTTCACCTGTATCACAGGAGTGAGATCTGCACTCAAACCATTTTGAGAGCTAGTAGTTGATACTGTATTACCAGGCGGTAATGCAGTTATAACCGAATTTGAGCCACTATCTAAAACAATTGTGTTTCTACGAACACGTTTTTTAGAGATTTGGACCATAATTTCAAGAATTATAAGACAATAAGCAGTAAATAAATTTCAGAGCAAACACGTGCAAAAATGTCACCAATTGCAAACGTACCGCTGTTTTTGTATCTTTATTAACTTCAGATTCAATTGGCCGTCTGTTTTACGTTTTCACCGTCTCTTTCTCGGTCTTTCAGACTGCACAACCTACACTGATAACACATTATTATCGCTTTTCCTCTTACTGCGACGCCGAATAAATAACTGGTGAAAGGATCAACTCCATTCACAGTAGCAACAAGGTCTTAACACACTACATACTACAAACAACATATAATTAATTCAGCACCACTCCTTT